AACAGTTTCTTTATCAATATTGTCAAGGATGATTCCATGCATTGAGGAGCGGAGTATATCATGCTTGAGATATGATGGCACATCTGGCCGGCCTGTCAGAAAAAAACGAACATGGCCTGGTATCTCTGTGATACTGTCGGAAAGCCACCGGAGAAACATCTGGCCCCTATCTTGTCCACATTCATCCAGTGCATCCAGACAGATAACCCAGAGCTTCTCACTAGTTGGAATTTGAGCAAGCAGACCCACAACTAGTTTCTGAAACTGCACTTGTGGGTCTGCATCAAGAATCCCAGTATGGTCTTCATCCAAGAATTTGACAAGAATATTCTTGAAGTCTGCATTATAGTCTGCCAATTGAAAGGCAAGAGTGAGAGGGAGACCTTTGATTTCCCGGCGCTCTGCATAGTTCCGGGAGAAGAAAAAGGAAGCTGCTAGGATGTGTCTCTTTTCTGCAAGATCAAATGCAACAGTCTTTGCAATGGTTGACTTCCCAGTGCCTGCAGAGCCACTAAGCATCACTATACGCTGAGATGGATCAGATGGTGCTGTCAAGTGTGCTGTAATGTCCTGGATAATGTCAACCCGAGTACCCTCCATGCATTTGTCTGGGGTGTTTGGAGCATTGTAGCGTGCTGAAACATATTTGATCTTTGCTAGGGTCTGTTCAATATGGTCACTTTTCACTAAACAGACATGAGGAACTGCAGAAGGTGTACAAGAAGCGATATTCATATTTACCAGTGTTGTTGACATCCCAGACTAGACAAATGTCAATTAGATTTTTGAGGGATGACAATCCTTACCTTGTGGCTCCATTCTTTGGACAGATGCATCCACCCGATCAACTGCAAAGAAGTTCTACAGCAAGTTTACAAGAAAATGACTCTCCATACCTCTTGTGGACATTCGATCCACCAAAGTATCGATGGAAATGCTATTATGGAACTGCAAACACAACAAATTAGACAGACATAAAATGCACAAAAGGAAGGAAATCTTACTGTGAAATCTTGAATGTGAGATGTAATGGAAGCCTTGATGCCCTGGATCTCCTTCTCATACATCTTGCCTTTCAAAAATTGCTTGAATTTCGATTTCTTTTCAAGTGATATGAGTCTGGTAGTAATTGGCTGGAGATTCCTACGAAATAGAGAGAAATGCATTAATTGAAGGCTGAAATCTACTACATATCACGCACTCTTTCAACTGGTCCAAGCGTTGTTTCAAATTGTCACTACATCCCACTGTATCAATATCTGTCAATTGCTTGAGCCTTTTGTCCAGATCCGGTAGATCAGCCTTGTTTCCCTTCATTGTCTACAAGAGTATCTTTAGACAATATTGATGTTCTCACTGACATCTATTTACGCACCAAAACCATTTCGGCTAGTGCGACAACACCGGTGATTGCACCCTCGAGTCCTGGAACAGGATTGCATGTGGCGGCTGCTTGAGCAACCCTGAGCACAGGTAGAATGTTGTCGAGGATGTTCATTGTAGTGATGTGGAACACTAAGCGTGTGGGCGTAGATGGTAGTAGCGACAAAGAGGCAGAAGGCGACGCAGTGCCAGCTGTAATGCTACATGCTGACAGCAGTCCCTTGACAACTCGGACATTATTGTTATCAATCAATAAGGGCGGTCAGAGTAAGGATTTTGGAGGCGATTCTTATCGACGATTCTCAAGGCGATTCTCGGGTGATAAAAGCGTGAGAGAATCACCGTCAAGAGAATCACTTTTAATTATGTAGAAGCTCCTCTGGTGGCGTTTCTGCGACGATTCAGGGGCGACTGCGATTCTCTGGATTTAAATTTGTCCAGAATCCACCAAGAATCCCGATCAGAATCCACATCAGAATCGCCTCAGAATCGCCCCAGAATCACTACTCTGACTGCCCCTATTAAATTATATGTACACCTTTAATACTTTGATCACATATTTCAAATTCAGAGCCATATATTGTGGTTAAGTTGACATACCAAAAAGGACCTGTCGGCGCACTCGGCAGTGCACCCACAATAATTAAGGTTTCTCGATCCAGTTACGTGGGAGGCCCCAGCTGGACTCTGGGACAGGTCGTGATCGTTTACAGTCCCATTTTTGTTTCGGGTTGTTCCAGTCGTATATGACACTTTGATATATCACCCGCCCATAAGCAGAAGGCTGGCATGATATATCATTGCCTGTGAGTTAGAGGAGTGGTTGATATATCACCTTAGAGGTTCACCGCTCGGGTGCTTCTGACACTCAATCAATTGCCAAGTTTCTGATGGCGCCCGCTTCCCGGGGATACTAGCTGATGCGAGGCGCCTCGTCGGCCGGTGGCTACGGCGGCGCATATGGCTGCGCGTGTCGTGTTTGTTGGATAATTCTATTTGGAAACCCGGTTTCCGGGAGGAACCCCTCCAAATGAGGTCTCCATCACCGATGCCGGAGACCCCTTCCCCAAAAACCCTTGTTTCGATGCATTCCGAAACTTGAAATGATCAAGACAGTGGCTACCCTCTTTTAGCAGTGTATAAGCTTTCAGGGAAATATATTTGTATGGAATGGGCAACAGGAAAATTACCAATGCAATTTGAATCATAAAACCGAAAAATTGTGTCTGAAGCATATATGATATCAAGGATATTTCTTATAGTGTCAGGCAACATTTATTGGATTCTCCTCCATAAAATAGAATAGGTCCCAGACTATTCCAATCCATTGGGTGAGTATAGTGAATGTACCGAGGTATGCTGAACTTGTTTTGATCCCATCAAACATATGTTCGCCATGTTTTCTCACCATAATAGGCATTCAGCGGCAGGCTGAACTATTGAAAGAGGATTTATACTTTACTTATAGGGATTGTAATTTTTCCAGCCCCAAGGATGGTATATAAAAAGAGCTTTCTTAATTATGAAGTACAGCGGCGTCACCGGGAGTTCGGCGGCAGCATTGCCTAATTCGGAGGGGTTTCTTGGTAACCGGGTTTCCAAATAGAATTATCCGTGTTTGTTCATATCATGATCCCATCTCTTCTCGTCCTCACCAACTTGGAATCGACACCGTTCGCGCTCTGTGGTGGCTTCTATCCCCATCTCCTGGTATGCACATAATTGGCCGCTCATTCTTCCCTGTTTATCCCCTTTTCAACCTGTGCTGTGCTCTGGCTGCCTGGCGGTATCAAGTCCTTGGCTCAGCCCCGATCCGCCTCCCCTTTCCATCCGGGCCATCTGCGGCCTCAAATACTCAACACTGGACTTAGGATGCACTATTAAACCACCTTGTTCCGTTCCAGAGCTCTTGTACGGCGTTTATCCCAAATTAGCCGCTCCGCAGCTCGCTCAAATTTGCACCCCTGAAACCCCTTCAAATGCCCCAATTCTTGGGCAGTTGTATCTCAGGAGGCAAATAGGTGGTATCCTGTGCTCGTGTATCTCTCTGCCGCCTGAATTCACCGCGAAGAGCCTATTTGGTATCCCGCCGCTCTTGCCCCTTCTGGCGGCGCAATTTACCCTTGGAAAAATCTGCACAGGCGTATATCAAATTATGTAACTGCTCGTTTCTATATATCTCATGTCCGCCGCTGCCTACTCACCCCGAGACGGTTGGTTTTGAATTCGGCGCGTCCCGCTGCTTTGCGCTCCGCACGCTCGCTATTTGGGCATTTTGGCAATACACAAAATATATTACATTTGGAGGAATAGCTCTAGTGGCCTTGGAACTCTCCCGCACAGTTTTTCGGCGCAGGTCCGCCTCTTGCTGTAGCGAGCTGTCGTTGCTTCCCAGTTTTCTGGCAATCAGCACCCACATGCCTCACCTGTACTCATTCTGGCTTCTTTTACCCCCCTTCAAGGTACTGTCATCCCCATTTTCTGGCTATTCACGTCTTATCCATTTTAGCGCCTGCAGCACCTATTATTCGAAAAATACTTCCAGCAGCGCTTTCCTCAATTTTTTGGCGGGAGCTCCTGTGCTGGTAAGCTGGAATGAAGTGTGCTGGCGCGGATCTAAGGCGCAATGTGTGCGCATAGGTAGTGCTGAAGGTGGCCAGGACGAATGCGCCGGTGACTCGACGGCGGGGCGGCCGCGGAGGGCGATTTCGGCGGGCGGCACTAGTTTCTGTGGAAAGCCCGAATGAGGCGCCCTGGCGCGGATGTGAACGGCGAGGTTCATGTGCACCTGATTACTATTAGCACAGGCTTCCGGCTCGCGCGGCGATTTCTTGTAGTCAAGGCGGCCGTACGGCGCGATTTTTACAGGAGGCGCTAATTTGTCGGTACGGTGGAACAACGCATGCTATAACGAATTTGCGGTGCGCTCGCCTTTTGAGGGACACCATGAATCTACTACACACCTGTGCGCCGACTATTGGGATCCAGGGGTGAGTGTATCGCGCAATTGTCGGCGGGTGGTTGTAGGTGCGTTCAAAAGCGGAATGCTAGCGCAGAGCTGATGTTTCCTTGAAGGATTCATGATGCTCAGGACCCATGCGCTAAATTCCAGAGCATGCGGATGCGAACGGCGCACATTCATGCTCATCATTGATGGCGACGTCGAAAGGTCGTTCATGTCGTGTCATCATATTGATTGAATCACGGACGAGATGCTCAAAGCAGTAGGGCAGTGCCTCGGCACCGCAACGGGAAGATGATATATCAGACGCTGCTCTGACTTAGAGGTCTGGATATAACGCGCCAGTACTCTCATCACCAGTGAGTGATATATCACTCCGCCATGCAGTGGTCGTCGTTCAAGTCATTTTTCTCGAGGCCAAGTTCCGTCGCTAGGACCACTACTGTATATATTCCGGTTCAATTAATATGAGGGAACGACCCGTTGGCGCACTCGGCAGCGCACCCATCATAATTTGACTTCTGCTACGAGAGTTATGTAGGAGGCCCCGGCCGACTCTGGGACAGGTCATTCCATCTCAGCAATGTATTTTTGTCCGGTTCGTTCGTTTTAAATTCAAAGCTATATTGTTCAGGTTCAGTTAGGATACCAGGAAGACCTGTAGACGCACTCGGAAGCGCACCCACCATAACTTACGATGACGAATCAGGATTATGTGGGAGGCCCCAGTTCGACTCTGGGATGGGTCATCCGGGCTTTGCCTTATTTCTGCTCATTTAAAAAAAATTGGACTCTATATTCTTATTCAATTAGCGAGAGAGAATGACCTGTTAACGCATTCGGCAGCGCCCTCTATTTGGACGAGAACGTCATCATGTGGGAACCCAGCTCGACTCTGGGATGGGCGATGATCGAGTATTCATTTGTGAGCTTCTCCTTTTTTGTTCGGGGTCCTTTCATTTCATTTTGTTGAAAGCCGAGCCTACATTGGGAAAGACCTGTTTTGGGCAGATGGTAGCCCGCCCACTAGAAATTCAATCTCAGCGCGCACTTCTACTAGTCGTGACTAGGTAGTTGGCCACCCGGGGTAGTTGGCCATTGGAGCTATACTCCCTGAATATAAAGTTTTGTCATTAAATGTTGGTTGTAGGTTGGAGAGGATGTTGAGGTGTCCCTTCGAACAAAATTTGACGGAGTTTGGTTCAGTTGATGCCAAGCTGCAGCCAATTTTAGAACGGGTTGATGGCGGAACAAGTGTTTTTCTTGATCTCCCACGACACCAAATCGCCTCGTTCTTCCTCAATTCTTGCTCGATCCATGATGTCTGGGGCTCTTTCTACTCAGGAAATGTTTGCGCTCAATCCAGAGAACATTCTTGGCCGTTTGAACTTCTCCCTACCCTCTGGTTGGCCGGTTTCTTCTTAAAAATCACGCTTTCCCGTCACAGGCTTTCAGTTGGCCACCCATATATCAAGATAATATGAGGTGCTAGAGGCACCAAACTTTCTACACACCTTCAGTAGACCTAAAGGCTCATGCTAGAACGTACCAACTCTCGCTGGCAATTTTCTCCTGTCCTCAAACGCGACCGGCCAACTTCCTAGTTTTTCCCCCTTTTGGACACGTCCGCCGAAAATATTCGCCAAGCAATCCCAACTTAGCACAAGCTCAATCCCTATTCAACATTGACTCTTAGGACCCCAACCTACATCCTCTCAACACAAAAGGTGCAGGTCGGCAATATAGCTTGTTCTACAGGCGCAATAACCCTTAGGTGGCCAACTTCACAGTCAATAGTAGTAACTTTTTTAGAGTATTTCGGGACTAATAAATCATCTCATTTTACTCAAGTGCGCTCGATGTCATAGTTCAACTAACACGGCAGAATGACCTGTTGGCGCAGAAGGTAGCATACCCACGATACCAGTGTATTGTGTGTGAGGCCCCAGTTCGACTCTGGGACAGGACATCCCGCAATTTCTGTGCGCCCAATTTTAATTTTTTATCCGACTTGTTCATTCAATTTTAATTCAGACCCGTATATATTCTGGTTCAGCAGAACAGAAGGACCTGTTGCCTCAATAGATTTCTCCATTATATGGGCGGTCCCAGTTCGACTCTGGGACAGGTCATCAGGAGAGATTTTTTTTTCCCCCGCCAGCCTCCACATACATATTACATTGGAACTGAACTAAAACAACACCCTACTAGAAGACCTGTTAGCGCAGTCGGGAGCGCGCCTGTGCCGTCTGAATGATCTAACAAATCGCTTTGCGGGAGGCCTCGGTTTGAGCCTGGGACAGGTTGTGGCTTTAATCCTTTGCTTGTTGTTTTTGGTGTCGTTTCGATTTTTTTTCTTGTTTGTGTCGATTTCTTCCTTCCGCGGACTGCGACGACACACATGATTTACCAGCGCTGGATTTTCAGATGCACCGACGCCATTCTATTACAACAGCAACAGCAGATATGTACTGTATGTACATACACTATTAGGCGGCGGAAGTCCCAGCCCAGGGCATGAGGGCCCTTTCCAGCCCCGGGTACGGGGTGCGCAGGATGCTGGCGTATATGTGGCTGGGGGAGAGGGAAAGGGAGGTGGGGAGGCAGGGAAGGACAAGCACCGACTTCGTAAGTATTTGCCGGCGCCGGTATGGCTGGGGAGGGAGGAGAGTGCAGGTAGGTATACATTGACTTATATGCGACTGGGGGGGATGGGGCGGGCAGGGAGGGAAGGGGAGAGCGAGTAGGTATGACTGGGGGGAGGCGGATGAGAGGAGCATGGCGGAGGCGGGCGAGTAGGTTACATGGCTGGAGGGGAAAGGGCAACACAAGACAGAACAAAAAGAAAGAGACTTCACACTACCCTTCATACTCATCATACTCGCAGCCTCAGCCCTCGTACGTCGCACCGCATAACAATCATAGCATAGCATGTAACCTAGATAGTCGTCTGGGCACGGTAGATTAGATAGTCTTCTCGCACATCGTCTGCGGGGGCGTTGGCGCGGGTCGCACTGGCGACGCTGCGTTTACAAGGATAAAGATCCTCCTGCAAGACGAGACGAAAGTTCAATTATAACGAAAATCCAGATTCCAGTCGAGCCTGAGGTTCATTCAGTAAGTTTCAGCCCCAAAAGAAGGGAATAGAAACTGGAAAGCAGAGGTAGCGTACATGCTAGGTTGAACCGGGTTACAGCCTGTTCAGATCCGAGGAGTAACCAGAGGGCAAGGATATTTGGAGCAAGGCAAGCAAGGAGCCGAATCGGCGATTAGATTGATGGTGCTGGTGGCCTTCGATCCAAACACACACACAACTTGAAGCTCTCAGGCTCTTCAATTCGACGGGCGTAAATGGAGGCTTTCAAAAGCTACCTCTGGACGCTACATCTTCCCTCCATGACTCTCCGTGCCCCACTTTTTTTGCTTGTTTCTCCTCCCACTTAGGCTTTTTTTCTTAAAATTGCGAATCTGCTGGCCCTTATCGATTAGAAGAACCTGCGTCCAAAGGAAATTACTCCACCCGCGATCTGAATCATCCACGGAGAGTCTCGTTCCGGTACCGCTACAGAAGCGCCTTCCGCGGCTTAACGGCGGCTTCAAGCTTGTGAGTGACTTTGCTTCCGTCGTCCTATCTTCGGCTTTCGCTTTCACTCTCTGCTCCTCGCGGCGTTTTTTGAGCCCTTTTTTTTTTCTTCTTCAGTTTCTCTCGCCTTCCCGCATGCTGAACGATCGCGTAGATCTATTCCCTGCTTTGCAATTTAGCAGACGCGTCGTTGCGGTGGAAGGCACCCTTGCTGGCGTCAAAGCGCACGCAGGTTGTTTACGCGTTCGCCCCCGAGGTACGTAAAATCCTTCTTTTCCCCATGAACCAGTGCTGAGAAACGGCCAGCTTTCGAAGTCCGGGATCGTCGATCTGGCACTCCATGTTGCTCTTGCTGCTTTACGAATCTTACGATACCCCGTTCCCAACGCCGATGTCTCCCAGGTGGGCGCCTTGCCCTCTTGAACGTCATTCGTCTATCCCCCTCACCCACTACGCTCGCTCACCATCCCCGATCTTCCCAGTGCTGCCCCCAGCGCCTACTTCTCCTTCAACACCCCTGCTGTGATTGTGCTCTGCGTGTCCCGCGCTTCGTACTGCGCCTGGAGAATCGCCGTCGTCGTTACTGCCACCATAGATCATTCCCATGAATCCCAGCGACGCGACACCCCCACCCCATGCACCTGTGCCACATCTACGACATCCACCATCGCTCTCCTTCGACGCCCCTCGGCACCCTTACTTCTCGGATTCATGCCACCTCCCGTGCCGCGCCCCACGTCGCGCGCCGGCACCTACCGCACGTCCCGCTCCGTCTCCCTCGATACCCCGCGCCCCTTATGCTCCCCGTCCGCAAATCGGGCGTGCCGATCTTCCCATGTGCCACGCCCATGGACGCCCTTCGCCACCAATACGACGCACGTCTGCATCGCAGCGGCTTGTTCCCCGCCCCGTTTAGCCCGCGCGGGGGGTCTGCGACCTGCTGACTTTGGAAGATCGCCCCCACCGCCATACTCTTCGTACAACCGACACTCTTCGGTCGTCTTGACGACCACCGCTCGGCTGACCCATCGTTTACAGGCTTCTTCTCGCGCTTTCTGTGCGCTCCTGCCGCGCCTACTGGAGTCTGGAATACTGAAAAAGTTTCGCCTACTTGGTCAGGGGCTATTTGGGGGGTTTGGGGGCGGCGTCGGTTTCGAGCTTGTCGCTTGCGGACGGGAGATTCGTCAGGGGCAGGGTGGACGAGGAATGCTGCTCCATCCTCATGCTGCGCGCGCGTCGTTGTTACTCCGTTTCTTGTGGTCGAGACTGCGCGCAGACGGCTCAGCTCCCTCTCAGGCACCCTGCGCCTCGTGAGGGCGGGTTTAGCCAAGCCAGGTGAGGGCGGGAGACCTCTTGAGGAGACGGTTCGTCCGGCTCCTTTGATGCCTCCACCTCATCTACATACTGATCATCCGGTATCTACCAGAGCTTCTACGCGATTTGGCGCGATTCCGCTAGCCATAAGCGATATTCGGACGTCGTGCTTCTCCCTCACACGCCGCTGCCCCGATGCGGTATGGGGAAGCCTACTGGGACCTGAGCACGGTGAGGAATTACAGAGAATCGGGCGCGCCAAGGCGGCGATTCAATCTGTATGTACGTCCTGGCGACTCTCACCTTTGGCTCGGTACTCATCTTCTCTCACACAGCGCGCCTGTTCCCGTGTGTGAGGCTCGCTGTTAGCGGGGACGACGCCTTTTTCGCTTGGGCATCGGGTAGGATACTGTGTTATTTTATTCAATTCGAACGGGGGTGTGATGCGTGACACAAAAATTCAATTCGAACATTCGAACGCGGGCGAAGTTTAGCATGACAGGCGCGAAAAGTTCGAACAAGGGCAAAATGCCGATTCCTTGGCGAGCCGTTCTCGGAATTTTGCATATGGAGCAAATAAGCCTGTCACTGTTTGAAGGATCCTCAGTTGGCTGGCTCAGCAGGTGAAGAGGATATCGATGACTGTGATATATCTTCCCGCGCAGTCAAGCAGGTGACCACCGACAATGCAAATTGCGTGGGAGCCCTTGACATCCGAAAACCAAATTGCCGAGGGACTCCACAGTGATCCAGCCGAGATAGTGGGCGAGGAAAACGTGCTTGAGCCCCAGGAAAATGCTAGGAAATGGCGCAGAAAGCCAACGACTCGATATCAGGGATATTGGCGGCACAGAGACAATGAAAACAAATGGGAGGAAAATTACTCTTAATTTTTACTTAGATTGTGGCTTTTCAGGTGCCGTAGCTTCGGAATCGAATTGTACCCTTTTGGGGTGTTCAGACACATTTTTTGAGCTATTTTGGGGAACCCTGGGACCAATTCGAACACTGGGCGCGTGACGCGTGACACTGAACCAATATTCGAACACGAACAGGGGGTTCGTGATGCGTGACATTCGAATTGAATGAAATAATACAGTATTGGGGGATTGTGATGCCCTACTCGGCGGGCCGGGGAACCCTTGTCGGCCGACGCTCAGATCGCGGGGACGAGCGTATTGTGTGGGGAGCTCGATGGGTACGTCTATTTGGCTGTCGTTTCTTTGTGTACTTACCTCCAGTCACAGATCTACATTTTCTGATCATTCCCTCTTTCGTTTGTTTACCTTCTCCCGCAATCGCGCACTCAGGCTCATCATTCTTTACTTCTTCTCCTCACTGCGTCTCATACATGTCTTTGTATTTTCTAATGATAGATATGTGACCCATCACTTCAGGCTATCCGTCTATCCGTAGAGGCCCCGGGTGGTCATGGGTGCACGCTGTAACCAACTGGTACCACCCAGTTCTTGAGTTTATTTACCTGTTCCACTCACATGGTGATTTTTGTAGGCGATGTGGTTGTGCTGATTAACAACGCCTGCACGAACCGTTTACGTTCTGGACCGATTCGAACGAGGAGCATGCTCTGCAGAAGTGGCCCTCGTCGGCTGCACCGCAAAGAATTGCGCCCCTTCATCCATACCTAAATGGCAGTACCACTGTCTGGGTGATCCCCGTTGCACTTCTCACTGCACAACTCAAGGATTCACTAACGTTCCCAGCGGCTCAGCGGTGTAAAGCATCTATGGGCCGGCAAGAACAAGTGTCTGGATTTGACTAGTGGAAACTCCACCAACGGCACCCCGGTATCTGTTTTAATCCTGTGCGTATTTTCTTATTCTAATGTCCTTTGGATTTTTTAACAAATTCGACTTGGGGTAAAGGGCCGTTGCTATGCCCGGCAGGTACGAGTACTTATGAGTGTAAATGGACAGCTATAAATATGCTCAATTAAGACACTAATGTGGGCTGATTGTAAATAAGAGAAATTGTGCATTCAAGCGATGTGTGGTAGTCAATTAAAAAATGGCATGACATACATAGTTCCTTCGGACATGATATTTATACAGTCATCAACTGTAATAAACACCCAAAAAAAGAGAAATCAGTAGGAGGTCAAATCGACAGCGCAGTACTCACAGCCAATACCAAAATACATTATGTGATCCATCACTCGCTCCAATTTGCAGAAAGAACAGGTCACCAATTTAAAGCTGTCACGCCAACCCATTATGAGTTACACCGGGATTGAAAATGGACTAGAGTTTGAAAATGCACTCGCTTCATCTCAATTTTACTGTTATTCCACTGATTTTTCGCGGGACGTACTCCGACACATATTCCGCATTAGACCAGCAGAAAAAAATGAACAGATTCCGTTCAGAATTGAGTGAGCATCAGGCCCAGG